GAAACCACATTCGTAACACATGTGTAATGTAAGTTCAGTTTTACACCATAAACGTGTGTAATCTTCACTTTACCAAACCGACAAAACGAGTCCAAGTCTGACAGCATGATAATTTCAACTAGAAAATCTACATAATTTCCAGATTTCTATGGAAAATGTTTCGGAGCCTGTTTAGAAAAAAAAAACAAAGATCTTGTTCCTGTCATTACAGAAATTTACGACATTTTGAGTGGTCACAACTGACAACTCCGTGTGGAAGCAACTAAACCAAAAAATAGAAGGCATTCACAGCTACCAAACCAAAATCTCGGACAACGGACAAGAATCTTTATTCAAATTTATCAGAAAAATGAAACAAAATATTTTTAATTTGTCATGAAAAATCCTGAAAAATACTTCGGAGTGTCAGATCGATTTCAAACTTCCAGGATTTATTAACCAGGATGTTTTCTTTAAACAAAGCAAATTTGAAGTCAATCTGAAGTTCAGAAATAAAATTATGAGGTTTTTTCCAACTTAATACCAGAAAAAATTGGAAAATTCATGTTAAATTACCTTTGAAAAATACTTCGAGGTATCAGATCTACTTGAAACTTTGAATTCTGAGTTTTCTGTTCTAGAATCGGTTCCCAGATCAGATCTGAACAGGTTCTACGGATATTGAAAGAATCATAAGTTTCATTTTTGAAGTTTACGAAAATTTTTGTAAACTAGTTTCAAATTTATTCTAAATGTGATCCATGAATATAACTTCGTTAACTATTCGATTCAAAACTGATTCGGAACAGTTTGGATACACAATTGAAATTATATCTTTCGAGGATCATTGAATTCTGATGAGTTTTCTGTTCCAGTTCTAGAAACGGTTTCCAAATCAGATCTGAACAAGTTCTACGGTTATCAATAGAATCATAGATTTCATTTTTGAAGTCTACGACAATTATTCTGAACTGGTTCTAAATGTGATCCGTGAATAAAACTTTGTTAGATTCAGAACTGATTCGGAATTTGATTTATATCTTTCGAGGTTCATTGAATTCTGATGAATTTTTTGTTCCAGTTCTAGAATCGGTTTCCGGATCAGATCTAAACAAGTTCTACGAATATTGAAATAATCATAAGTTTTATGTTTAAGGTCTACGAATTCTAAACTAGTTTCAAATTGGTTCTAAATGTGATCCGTGAATAAAAAAAACCCATCTACTCACCAATATACTGCTGAACTGTTCAAGTAGAACATTCACCTGAACCATGTAGTTTTTAAACTAATGAGAATAACTCACATTTGAGTAAGTCAAGTTAGTATCGTAATTAAACAACATAATGATCAATAAATGGCTTCCGCAACAATTCACTCATTTGTACTTGAATAACTTGTCACAATATATTACTAGTTTGGTAAAGTAGCATCACTAATTCCTGTTGAAAGGCGAATTGACAAAAAGTAGATAATCTTACAAATTTTGACTTTATATAATAAGTTATTGTTCAAGTACAAATAAGTAGATTATTGCGGAACTTATGGGTGGACCTCTGCGAGACGAGCGCAGCGAGTTTCGCAGCCATCTACTCACCAATATACTGTTGAACTGTTCAAGTAAGACATTCACCTGAAACATGTAGTTTTTAAATTTATGAGAATAACTCACATTTGATTGAGTCAGGTTAATATCGTAATTAAACAACATATTGATGAATAGATGGCTGCGGAACTCGCTGCGCTCGTCCACCCATAAGTTCCTCAACAATTCACTCATTTGTACTTGATTAACTTGTCACAATATATTACTAGTTTGGTGAAGTAACTACATTACTAATTCCTGTTGATAGGCAAATTGACAAAAAGTGGATAATCTTACAAATTCTGACTTTATATAATAAGTTATTGTTCAAAGTGTTTTTTTATATATTGACACCCTACCAGCCTTTACCTTTACAGGTAGATGAAAGGTGTAAATACAAAAGTTGTACAGTATTCAGAGGACAGTCCTAGAAGTCCTAGCTCAAAGGTCGCGTATAAAATAAAAAGCAGGTAAATAATGACAACGGCTTTTATCAGTAGAATTTACATTGATATCAGTGTATCAGTAGACCAGTGGCCAAATCAGTAGATCTACTGATAAATCAGTAGACCTGGCAACACTGCTAAGAAATACGAGCTTACGCTTAATCAAAATAAGTGTGTATATAATAAAAAAATCTATTAATTTACTAGGATATACTATTGAAAACAATTGAAAATCTGATTCGGATAGACTAAAACCACTATTAAACTTGCCAATTCCTAAAAATTTATAAAGTTTTCGAAGAGTAGTGGGCATTTTTTCACATTATTCGAGGTGGATTCAAAATTTTTCAGATAAAATTACATGACAAACGAAGTCAAACAGGATTTTGAACAACTCAAAACAGATATAGCAAATTTCCTTCTTTGTACTATAGATGAAGATGAAACTTAATCGTTGAAACTGATGCATCGGATTTAGCTATTGCCGCTACATTAAGCCAGTCAGGAAGACCTGTTGGATTTTTTTCGAAAACATTATCAGAAATTGAAAAAAGGCATTCAGCTGTGGAAAAAAAAGCATACGCTTGTGTAGAGGCACTACGTAAATGGCGTTATTTTTTAATTGGAAGACATTTTAAGCTTGTTACAGATAAAAAATCGATGTCGTTCATGTTTAATTCACAGCAATGATATAATCTATCGTCCTGGAAAATCAAATGTTGCAGCTGATACTTGCTCAAGGATTTGCGGTGCAGTTTCAAATGATACAAATTTATTTGAATTACATAAAAATTTATGTCACCCTGGAATAACAAGCATGTACCATTTTGTCAAAGTTAAAAATTTACTTTACTCTTTGGAAGAAGTAAAAAGAATGACGTTGAGTTGTCCTGTATGCGCAGAAGAAAAACCTAGATTTTGTAAGAATGTTAGAGCTCATTTAATAAAAGCAACATCACCTTTTGAGAGGTTCAATATTGATTTTAATGGACCACTGCCAAGTTCTCATACTAAAAATGAATACATGCTGACTATAGTAGATGTATTTTCAAAATTTCCTTTTGCTACATCAGCTTCTACTGTTGTAGAATGCTTAACTCATCTGTTTTCATTATTTGGATCGCGAATTAGCATTTATGTCAAAGGAACTCACTGAATATTTACATTTTCGTGGGATATTGGGAATTTCAATCAGATATTGCAACTGACTCTAATCAAGACCAAAATTTGATAAATTAGAAAAATAGAAAATTTGAAGATTTACAAGATCAACCACGCAGATCTTCTAGAAACCGAACTCAGCCAAAGTATTTCTCAGATTATGTCAAATAGACTGGGGGAGAATGTGATATATTATTTCTAATGCATTTCATTATCACCTGTATCTAATGAATAGCTACTAGTAATACCTTTTTTGTTATAAATACTATATTTATCACATTGACATTGTTAAATGTATGAATTGTAAAACTATAGTTTATTTTTTCTCAAGATAGATTTTGGCATTGACAACTTTGAAACATAAACAATGCCGCTGATTCAAGATAATTGAAAAAAATTATTCATTTTTATAAAGTAAAAAAGTCACGCTTTCCGACGATGATAAAATATACCCTGTGTTTCATCAAGGATAAGGCAGTATGTAATTGTAATTACATATTTCAAAAAATAAAATGTCTGTAAAACTAAATTTCAGGATTCGTCAATACCATGAAAAAAACTTTGAGCAATCCTTATTATATCCGTGAACGCATCGACTTACGTTGACCGCCTAAAAGTCACTTTAAGCATGGCTATACATTATGTAAACGATCGTATCCTTGGATGAAACGTTTTCTTACTACCTCAAAAAATATTATGTTGATTTTGTAGCTGTATTTGTAGGTTTTCTTCTTATATGTGCTGGGTTTATGTTGTTTAAGTTATTTTAGTGATAACTGACAAGAATATCTCTCAATAATGTCAAATGTTTGAAATACGTTTTCGGATACGGATACGAGGCTAGGCCCGTAACGCAATGAAATCACCGTATCTAGTCTGCACATGCGCAGATCGATGCGGATACGGATACGTTTGAAATTTAGGACCTGCTTAAAGTGTTTATTCTCTCAGAATAAACCGCATCTCGTTATCTTTTCTTGTTTTCGAGATATTTACCTGCAAAATGTGTCAGTTTATCTAAGGACACTCTGTACAATCAGCACACTATCTCGCATCATCTTGTCTTAATCTGTCAAAACTACTAATATTAGAGATGTGCAAGTGTGCAATATTAGCGATGGGCTTTAGGTTATTTGAAAATATTAACAAGCCTCTAATAAGAAAGTTATGAATTATATCAAATTGGGCTGATTTAAAGAAAAAAAATTGACTTGTCTTCAAGTTAAAATGTTTCATTCAAAAACTACTATGAGGAGAAATCTAAAATTTTCAGGATTTATTGTAGAGGGTTTAGGAAGGATATACCTCGAGATATACTACAAAATCAAATAATTTGAAATTTTTGCATTAACATGAGAAGAAGCTTCTAAATTTAGTTTGTAGCTTCAAATTATCTTTTCCACAAAGAGGAAACTTCAATCCTCCATAAACCCTGATTGTTTCAAGTCACTGTAATCATTGAAAATGTTTTGCACAAGTGATCTAGACTCTAGACAATCAGAGACTTTCAAAAGCATAGAAAATATCTTCAGATACTTTGGAAGCAGTTCTAAACCCTTCCAGAGCTTGGAGTTACTTACTAGAAAAAGTAGAATCCGCGAAAGAACCTTCAAACTGCTTCAGACACATAAGAAAACTGTTTGGAACAACTAAAACCTCCCTTAAGACACTTTAAATTATCTTAGACATAAATATTTAAGCTTACCAGAATAATTTCTTCAGGCGCATGCGTTGCTCTTAACTCCTGCAACAAAAAAAAAGTAGCTTAAGTAAATTTAACACTAACAACAGTGTGGAACAAGCCTTATTTAAGTATATTTTTTGATTCCAGGTGGTCTGCCATACAAAGTCTACCCAGGCCACGACGGCGTCCTAACCGAAAAACGAAAACAACGCAGAATCCGAACCACCTTCACGTCCGCCCAACTCAAAGAACTGGAACGAGCCTTCCAGGAAACCCACTATCCAGACATTTACACCCGCGAGGAAATTGCCATGAAAATCGACCTAACTGAAGCCAGAGTACAGGTAAGAATATTTTTATTTAGTTTGATTGCTTGAAATCCGATACCGTGAGACTCGCAAATGAGGACATCAAAAGACAATTTCACGGGGACCCGGAGGCGTCCCCGGAACAAGCCTATCGAATTCCGGATCGAATCGAGGCACGTGACCGCACTTCGATGCGATTTTGTGTGCGTTGGGGTCGAAGTGTTTTGTTGTTGTTTGTTATAGTCAATCAGACGCGTGTGTAGCTGGAAAATTAACACTAGATTTGGAACGGAGATTGGAAAAAATTTTCAATCAATCAAATAGTATTAATACAAAGAAACTCGAAATTAACCGCAAACTACATAATATAAAAATTTGTTTTCGGAGCGGTTCTCGGAAACTTTCACGAAAACTTCATGAAATATTCATCGGCCGACTCAGGTGCGCTTATGCTCCACTTACGGTCCTTGGCTTGAATCCAATTTGGACGACGGTATCAATATCCATAAAAGTTTTCCGTCACTTTCCTTTTTTCCAATCCAGACAGGTTGTTAATCATCCTTATATATACTATAACTACTCTGGATAATGGAGAGAGTCAGTGTCAATTTTTGTTGTAAATTATGGTGACAACTATGGATTTTTTTTTTTATTATTTATTTTCGCGGCTCTGGGGTGTGTGACAGAAATCTTGGGTCCCTTTATTGGAAAATCAAAGTCCAATTAACACAACAATAATTTATTTCACGTTACTACATATATACTCTGACACTAATTACTTCACTAATTAACTCTTTCCAACTGCCAATCTTGAACTTAAAACTACTAATACCCGGCCTTTATATATCCGTAATCTATTGTAAAATCCAAAATAAACGCGATAGCCCTTCTTCTCGAATAGCACTGTAAAATCTAGAATCAGCTGTCTAATTCTGTATACACCCTAGTGTTTCCGCCAGATTTTTGCGGCACTGTTCTCCTCTTAAGATTGATCGTCTCGATCAACTTCGCGCCCATGATATGACAAACGACACATTGTATCCCCATATTCTGAGTAAACCGAAGAAAAATGACTGTTAAACATATCAGAAATCTCCTCTGGATGATTACTGGATTCCTCATTAAGAGTCATAGACTGAGGGTATTCGGAGTTTTTTTTTTTTAGAGTTGACAAAATTTCAAAAAGACTTATTGTCTGTCAACTGCGCTTCCATAGACTTAATATAACTTTGATGACTGGAAAATGACATTGTAGCAAAACGCCCCAAGTACTTTATGTAAATAGTTAGATGGTAAATGGCGAGCGGTCTATTGATGGTGTTCATATACTTGGAGCTTGCTATCTAAAATCTGTGGAAGAGGGTCTATTTGCAAGAGAGAGAAACAAACTAATGAGGTGTACAAAATTATATTTTATTTCACATAAAACCCAAAAAAAATCAGCCAAATATCTTCCAATACTTACATCCTTCTTTAGTTCTATAAAGTCAATACTTCACATCCGTTCTATATTGTTATTTTACGGACTACTGAAATATCCCTACTAAATAAGAAACGCCCTATTCATACTATTTCTCAAAATTATAATTCAACTCATTTTACTACATCCGAATCATTCCTAATAACTATCCTTCACCTAGTCAAATAATTCCTTAAAATCTCTAAGTCCTTTACCTGTGAAAACCCAAAATAATTACCTATTTGTTTATCAACTAATTTATTCTCATAAAATCTTACAATAACTTCTACTTGTAAAATAAACTCCCTAATTCAAAATTCCTTTCATGAACAATAAATTCTTTTAACAGCTTTTCCATATTCTAAGACAATTCTATTTCATGAATAAATTCTAATATAAGTTTCCTTTTAACAAGTTTCCAATATTTCAAGAAAACAATTCTATTTTATGACATTTCTTTTCAAAATTTCCTATTGCAGTTAATAGTTTATCAGAATAAATTCTATTTTCGGATTCCTATGCCTAGCTAATAAATTCAACTGTTTAATTTCATAATTCCAACTCAAAATTGTATATTGTTAAATGCATTATAAGTACTCTTCATATTTTTGTTGCACATTTAAATGTCATTATATCAGAAGGTAATTAAGTTATGCGATAATGTTTCCTTTATAAAACACTCAAGTTATTAAGTTTATTGAAATAAAGTTCCACCATGATTAAAATCAAAAGTTTTCTAGTAAAATTCACACAAAGTCATGTTCATCAAAAATAAATCTTGTCACTATAGAGTACTTACATTTTGTTCATAAAACACACGTAAAATTACTTAATTAATTACTCAAAATATTTAGCTAGCACGCACATAATTTATTGAACGAATTTCAAATGTTACTTTCACGATTTTCTAAGTTAATTTATACCCGAGGCAAAACGCCATAAAGGTAACTTTTCGCGAAACTGGGCAGACTTTACTTCAAACTGGACTAGACTGTTCTCTGGCAACTATCTTTTCTCCTTCTAAAATTGCGCTTTTTATATAAAACCCGGTGCTCCTAAATCACTTTGTCCATGACAATTAAGATGATGCAATTTCCTTGGAATTTTATATTATTTTTGGTCTAAAATCAATTAATTATGTCGCAATAATCTGATTTATTGAGGTCAACACGTTTGGGTTCAAGAATGCCATAATTCATTCGACTCAATTTTTGGTAAGCGGAAAAGGCCTTGGCTAACAAGTTCATTGATCGGTTAGTTGATGACACAGGTGCTGTGTGTCGAGATACGTAGCTTTAATCTATTTTATTTTAATTTATCGATACAGATTTAAAAATACCGGAATTAAGTTTTTGATTATTTGATAAAAATTAAAATTTTTACAGTAAAGACTTTGTAATTATAGGGTCAAATTTCTGGATCATCACAACATATCTCTACACTGTTGCCTTAAATTTGAAAAAACAGCATAGTCCTGAAGAGATTGTGAAACTTCAAATATCTTGTGTGCCTTCTTTTTCTGCAAAATTAGATCTCTCAACTCATTATTCATGCATTTAGGGAATTTGGATTTCGTAAATCTACACATGGGAACAAATGAGTTGACCGCATGGTGCAGTATGTTATAAAATTCCGAAACCACCAATTTCAAATCAGTACACTCAGAAACAAAGGACCAATCAACAGTAGACAGAAAAAAATTAAAATGACGATAATTTGCACATTTAAAATTATGATAAAAGTAGTCACATGACATATTCTTTGGCTGACTATTACACAAATTAAAACTGCATTTAGAGGCTGGATGTGGTGCATCTAGTCTTAGCAATGGCTTATCACAGATGGAAACATTAATATTCATATGGTTAGAAAACAGCAAATCTAAAAACTTACCATATTTAGTTGGAATCTGGATATTCTGATACAATCCCAGGTATGCAACACAGTCAGAGATCGCCGAAGATTCCATGGAGAAATTTCCAACTCGTAGTGTTCCATTTTCACCATTCCTCCAAGATATCTTTTGGAAGGTTAAAATCACCCCAAAGAAAAATATCTGTGAAGGCGTTCTCGTCCACCAAGTGCATAACCGAGAGACTAAAAGCCTCGTAGACATCCACACCTGAGACACTAGGGTTATCTGCAATCCTAACCAATATTTTTTTGTTATCGACACCAGTCGAAACAAAAACATGTTCAACACTGTAAACTGGAGTGATTAGCTGATGACATGAAAGTGAGCTTCTGACCGCAATAACAACACCACCCTGAGACAAGCAAATGCTTGTTTTTTTCTGATCTGTCACATCTAAAGACCAAGTACCCATTAAGGCCAAGTTCACCTGTTAATACTGAACTGTCAAGAAAGGTTTCAGTCAACAGTATCACATCATAATTCTCTGTAACAACTTTACACATTCAAGCTTGCAGTTTGAGTTTTATTCCTGTCACATTTTGATAGTAAAATGCTAGAGTGTTGCTGTCACTGGTTGAGAAAATTTCCATAAAGCCTTTGCGGTTGGGCCCTGTGCCTGCTACGATAAACGAAAGGCCGAAAAAATGGTGTCGAGTGGCCAAAAGTCAACCTTATCGAGCAAGTCATAGAATGTCTCACAAACTCCAACCTTGAAACTTCTAGAGTTTGCTTTAGTGGGCAATTCCTCCACGACCAATAGATTATTGTCAGATCTTTTGGCCTTTTCTTTAACATAATAAAAAATTATTTGTGATGTTACCCCACGATCAACATGTCACAAAAACAGCAATTTCTTACCAGGTACTTCTCGAAACAAACCCCCTAAAGAGGGTGCTGTGCCTTATTGCTATGCGTTTGTTTAGGCTGATTTTGCACTGTTAGGTTTGGATCTGTATAGTTAGGTAAAACTGTCTGTATCATGGGTGCGTTAAGTTGCCCCCCCCCCAGTTGATATTTTTCAACCAAAATGCTAGTACAGCAGGGTTATAGCTAGCACAATCTAGCACAACCACTGGTTGAGCTAGCACTCCCACAGGAATTATATAAACATTATTTTACATGATTTTGGAAAAAAAACGAATACATTCAGTTCACACTGACAAATGGAAATCACTAGATTGTCTATCAGCGCATTGACATTGACGTTTATATACCGTCAGGTCCGTCACCCGTCACGGCCGTTACCCACTCCCACCCGTGTATTGTTTATTGTAAAATAATATTTATATATAATATTCAAACACCATCAATGGACAAGTTTTTAAAATTATCAATGTCTCATGCGCATTTTCACCAATGTATTGCTGTCCTTGTCATTTGACAGCAGCAAAACAAAGATAGGTTACCCATCAGGAGAAATGCGCAGAAGCACAGGCAGAAGCAATTGACCTTTTGTTTGGACGCCATATTGCGGTGCGCGAACATAATTGCCAAAAGTAGAAAAAAAAAATTACTTACTACGTTCTGTCAATATTAAAAACAAAAGTTACTGAATAAATTACATTTAAAATTTAAATTTGCCGCCTATTACGAATGTTTTTGAGAAGAAAAGCCATCAAGGGCGAGTTCAGGAATGACACATCCAGTGTGAGTGTGACACCG